TTTTTTTTTTTTATTTAGAGGGGAATGGTGATGCAGAGGTTAGAGAAGGTGGGCCTATCCACCTGCCTCCACCCTCAACTTGCACTACTCTGGGCCCTTGAGCAAGGCCCTTAACCCTCACCATCTGCTCCCCTGGGAACCCTAGATAGCAGCTCTCTGCTCCACACAGAGGGCTGTGGTAGCTCAGTGGTCTGTGGTTGTGTCAGGAAGGACATCCGGCGTAAAAACAATTGCCAAGTCTTCGTGCGAGTTAGTTCGCTGTGGCGACCCGTGAAGAAGGGAGCAGCTGAAAGAATAGAAAACAAAATAAATATATATTGTTTAAAAGAACATCATTTACATGGTAAACCAGGTAAGAAAGGAGGAAAAAGTTGCCTTGGATTCAAAAGGATTTCTCAGACACACTTTCTGAATAACTCAAGCCAATAAAAACAATTTTGTGATATTCAAAATATCAATTAAAAAAAATCATTAAAAAAAATGCAAACATGAATTTTTGAATAAAGGATTGTCTTATGAAACGAATCAAAGCGAAGCACTGCTTCAAACAGATGTTCCCATGCACAGCTCCAGCTCCTGCACGTGAAGGCAGGAAGTGTGCAAACAGTGACCTCTACAGGAGCCACACGAAGGCAAACAGTTTTTAATTCAGTTTGATGCCCTCTGCAGACTGGTCAAAGCCCGCTTCATCCTTTCTGGGTGTCTGGGGTCACTGGGGCCCACAAACCCAAGCAAAACCTCTTCAAGTGACAGAAGCTAAAGGAGGACACATGTTCTGACAAAAAAAAAAACAAAAAAAAAAAACATCTTAAATCTTTTTTTAAATAAAGTTCCAGATCAAAAATAATGCTTGAAGCTGCTGATAAGAAACTTGTGTCTCCCACTCCATGACATACAGAAACACATACTGAAAAGTAAGCCTTAAACACAAAGTTACTGTGCAAACACTACAATAGGAGCTCAAAAATCCTTACATTTTGAGCAGCAGAAGTGTTTTAGGTACACATGACAAGTTTAAAAGACACTTCCTGTTTTGAAGAGAAATATTCAGAGCTAAAATATAATTGAAGTCTGTGGAAGCCTGGCTGTTCACTCTGCACTCTGAAAGGATGACGGAAAACTGAGTTCTACAGGAAGTATGAGGCAAATGGGTGAAAGAGCACAGAATGCCTGTTTTGATGTAAATGTCAGTTGTCCATCTAATAAATAAAAGTTGTGCGAGTAAGAAGGGTTTGAAATTTTCAAAAGTTTCAACAGCTCAAAAGATGAGGGAGTGGGACGACGTCATCAGTCAGTGGAATGCTGTGGAAAATTTTCCAAACTTTATAAAACTTTCACTGTGTTTGTAAAATCTCTTTAAACCATCAAAATGCCTGTTCAGTCAGGCAAGGTCCAACTTTCTGTGACATTAAATGAAGTTTCCACTATGATGTGGGCTTTGGGGCTCCAAGGAGGGTTGGGTTTTCTCACTTGTTTCCCATTTTTGAGTTTGTGACAAGAATCAGGTTAAGGATTTGAAAACTCAGCCAGACAATGGTTAAATAGTTTATTGGTTCACAGCTGCTCGTGGGAGTCTGGTCCAGATGTGGGAACAAATCTTCTCAGGCAGGTAAGGAGGTTTGCACCTGCCTGCGTTTGGGTGGATGACATCACCATAGCTGGTGGAAACGCAGCAACAGAGTGTGGTGATTACTATGAGCAATGTGGTAATCCTGAGTCCATTAGGAGAAGCAGGGATCATACACAGAGAGTCAGAGGGTTTGAAACAAATCCAAAGTGCAGTCCAGAATCCAAAAGCCAGAAAGAGTTGTCGTTTCCAGGATCAGAAGGGCAGGGCAAGAACAGATGATGAGCAGGCAAAAAGGTAAATCCAGAATGAAGGCTTGGGGTCAAACAAGAGATTCAGACGAGATCAGAGAGGGAACGCTGGACATCTAGTACCAATAATGGGGTTGATAATCTGGCAAGGAGCTTGTGAGACAATAACTCTTAAATAGAGCAGGCAGCAAGAGCAGGGCATGAGGCTGATTGAGCTGTGAGTGTGTGGCAGAGTGATAGAGGCAGAAACATGACTGTTTGAGAAAATTTGTTGCAATTTTTGTTGCGATTCTCATCCACCTCATGGCATGCTGCTACCAAATGGCAAAGCACAATTTCCTCAACTGAGCTGCAAATTTATATATATACATATACTTTGTACTTGTGATTCTTTTTTAGAGCTGCAGCATAAAAATGACAAAAAATAAAGGAAACATAAAACTAATAAGGTGGTCTAAATATTGATAAATGTCACCTCATTTTTCTAAAGTATAAGGCTATATAGAAAAACTTTCTATGTTTTGATTTAAAAAAAGAGCTTGGAAAGCCAATTTATTAAAAGCATCATTGCTTTCTAGAATAATTTTCCTCCCATGGACAAATATTATCAGTAAATCAGCTGATCCAGTTTGATTGGCGTTCAGTGACTGGGCAGCTCCCCACTGCACTGAACCAGCAAGACCAGAGGAAAATGTTTCCCATTCACAGTTTAGGTTTACTCATTGTGATTAATGCTCAGGTTTATTTTCATTTTATTATCATCATACACACATATGACATGAGTCTAGACTACTTTCTAAAAATAAACACAATTTAAAACGTGTCTAATTTAAAAGTAGATAACTAGTTGAAGAAATGCATCAATGAGACAAACAACAAGACGCAAACAGAGATAGCTGTTTTGATTAAATATAAAATCAGGCTTCTGTTCTGAACCTGTCTTCATGAACCATAATGAGCCTCATACAAGCTTGTTCTTAATCAGTAAACAAAAAAAAGGAGTGAATGAGAGCACAAGCTGAATGTGGGGACATTTTAAGCCCTGAATTGCAGCTGCCGCTCTGTGAAATCTAAAACCCCTTCCCCTCAGCATAATTCATTGCGTACCTGCAACCTGAAACCACAATGACTTTAGTGCAACATAAACAGAAAATTAAAACTGGACCTAACTTACAAATCTTCAGCACAGCTAAGAAATAACATATTCACTTAATTTTATTTTATCGTGATTTTAAAAAGAGTTTACAGAACCATGGACAGCGACAACAGAACCTGCTCATCTGCAGGGCTCACGTGCCGTCAAACAATCTGCTTACTCAGGTATCTATTCTGTTTTTTTTTTTTTTTGTTAAATAGGAAATACTTTATTGTTGTAATAGAACCAGTTTTTCAGAATGAGAGTTACAAAACAAAAGTGTTCCCCCATACACTGCCATGATATTTTTTTCTCTTACACAAAATGCAGAAAATTATCACTTGAGAACAAATTAAACTTTTTTTATTCTTTCAGATCAATTGTTCATCTATTATTTTATTTAAACTCCTTCAAAGGTCTGACAGATTTTTTTTTCCAGTCAGGAGGAGCAGGAGACACAGGCTCCAACACTTTTCCAGAAGGGTTTTTAAGGTATGCCAACCATCCCCTTGTCTTGACATGGCATTGTCCAGTAGTCACCCACCTATTCCAGTGCTTCAGTTGTTCTGAACATTTATCATACCGGCTCAAAGGTCAAGCTCTCTTTCAGTTGTCCTGAAAGGACGGAGATCAATAGGTTCTCCAGGATCTGCAGCAGTTTGCAGGGTTTAGAGGTATACAGCACTTCATGAATTATACGCTTATGGATCGGCTCAGGGTTTAATTCAATTTGATTTTAAAGAAACAGTACACAACAAAACTTGTCTCAGGGCACAATGCAATGACAAGTGCAAATTCAGTTCTAAACAGATCCAGATTTAACTTTACGTAAAGTCAATTCAGTTTAATTGTGATGCAAAGCAATAACTCACGGTGCATTATGAATCACCGATGTCACCTAAAGCAGCAGATTGTATCAGCTGTTGTTTAGGTGCAACCCCCCCTCCAGCGCAGCACATTGATGACAGTGGAATGGTCTGACTCCCTTTGTACAGGAAGAAACTTCAGACAGAATTGGATTAAGGATTAGCAGCCATGTCACTCGATTGGTGGGTTTGTGAGAGGACGGGAAAGAGACACAAACAAACACAGGACTGCTCTAGGTGTAATTTTATACGGGAATAAAAACAACAAAAGCACCAGTTAAGACAGCAATGGTAGGTTGTTTAAACATGAAGTGTAGAGTGAGAAAAGGCAGAGGAGGAAATGTGGTCCGTTTGTCCTCCAGTCTAGCAGCATAACTAAGGGATAGCTTAAGAAGCCCAAGCCGACCCTAACTATAGGATTTATCAAAAAGGAAAGACTTAAGCCTAGTTTCATAAGTAAACAATGTGTCAGCCTCACAGATAAAAACTGGACGTTGGTTCCACAACAGAGGCACCTGATTGAAAGTTCCTTCCAGTCTATTTTTTTAGGAACTCTAGAAATCACAAATAAACCTGCAGTCTGAGAGCAAAGTGCACTGTTTGGACAATGTGGAAGAATAAGAACTGTAATGATATATGGAGCAAGGTTGTTGAGAGCTTTGTATGTTGGAAGTAAGAATTTGAATTAAATTCTGACTTTGACAGGGAGCCAGCAGAGAGAAGCTAAAACTGGAGAGATATGGTCTCTCCTATTAACTCCAGTAAAGACTCTGACAGCAGAATTTTGGAATAACTGAAGACTTTTGGAAAGTGCCTTTTTTATCCTTAAAAAAGATCATTAGCTTAGTCCAGCCTTGAAGTGAGAAATTCATTGACCACTGTGTCTGCATTATTTTGGAACATAATGTCTCAGTTTTAGTAATTTTGTGCATGGAGAAAAGCAGTTCTGGTAACATTTTAATGTGGGAGTTAAGCAACATATCATGAACACCAAAGTTCTTTACATTAGTACTGTAAGTCAAAGTACTGCCATCCAGAGGAGGAGAAAGATTGCAATTTGTTCCTAAAATGTTCAGGTCCAACAATCAAGACCTCTGTCTGAGTTCATAAACAGAAAATGACAAAAGACATCCAGGATTTTATACCAAAACACACCAAACCAAACCACACCACACCATACCATACCACACCATACCATACCACACCAAACCACACCACACCA